TCTCCTACAGGAACGATTTGTACGTTTGCTCATCGACAAGAATATGTGGTATAACGCGGCCCAGTGGCTCAACCACCCTTGGATTTTGGCGTACACGGAAATGGCCCGAGCGGGACCATCGGTTGATTGGACCAAAATGTTCTCGATCCCACAACCCACCACCCCTACCTTCTTTATGGAAGGTTATGCCGGTCCCTCTCCCCCTTTACCTCCATCTTCGACCGATTCATTGCTCCCAGTCACAGTCCCAACTCCCCCATTGCCGGTACCGACAGCTTCATCATCGCTCCTGGCCCCAACAAAACCAACGCGTCGGGCAAAATCAACCGATCCTGTGCCAGCGGCTGAAACGAAGTCCAAGAGTAAGACAAAGTCTGGGCGAAGGAAACCCGAGGCCGGGTCCAGCGCCCAGCCACAATCAGAGGTGACTCCTAACGACACCGCTGCCCCAGTCCAAAGCAAAAAAAGAAAAGGGGACTCGATCGAAGCCAGGCCAAAGAAGACCAGAGTCGTGAGCGCGGAGTTCATCAACAGCAGCAGTGATGAGGAAACATTGAAGCCGAAGTTGGAGTCACTTCGACCGGTTGGTGGGGAAGCAAAGGCGGTTAAACCCAAGTCCCAGCCCCATTTCTCCCGCATGACACCCAGTGCCGGCTTCAGTCTCATCCGAAGGCCCAAGTTAGACCCCAACGCCAGTCCTCCCAAGACCGCCATGGCCGCTTTAAGGCAAGCCAAAACTGCCGAACGTCTTGCAAATCAGAATGCCGCGATTGCGAAAGGCAATTATCAGCTTGCGGATATCCCCTGTGAGGCCTGCAGCAAACGCCAAGATCGAGACATTGTTCCATGCGCTATCCGTTCCCCCCCACAACAAGGATCCTGCTTCACCTGCAGTACGGGTAAGACGACCTGCACATATGCAGTAACCAAGAAAAAGGACACTGACAGTGAGGTCGAAGACGAGATCCAAAAGGGGTTGCAGGATCTTGAAACGGCCACAGTCTCCAGGGGAGATGCCCAAGTGAAGATCGTGAGGAAGAAAGCGAGGTCAAAGAAGCCGCAGGTGAAGAAGGTGAAGCCGGATGTCACACTTCAGTCACCCACCTTGAACAAGCTATTAGCCTTGTAAAATGTAAGAATGTATCCAGGCTAATAGGTTGTGTGGCCATTTATTTTTCTTGCCTTGGGAGAAAATATAATATTGGATTGGGTAGAAAATGTTTGACCTTTAATATTGTGACGAGAAATTTTTGGGTAGATAAATTGTGTTCAAAAATATCCTAGTCAAGTGAAAGTGGTCAGAAATATTTGAAGGGGTTCAGACTGGTAAGAAATATTTGAAGTGTGTCAGACTGGTAAGAAATGTTTGAGCCAAGTCAAACTGGCCAGAAATATTTGAGGTGTGCCAGAGTGGCTAGAAATATTTCAGTGGTGTGACATCACTCGGATATGTTCTAAGCATGTCACACTGCTGAAAAATCTTTTAGCCTTGTCACATGGCTCAAACATATCCGACCAGTGTCACAGGGTATCTGGGGTCCCAGTTTCAAGAAAAAAACTTGGTATTGTTGGTATAGCTTTCTCAATATTTTGCACATTGCTTTTCTTTTCTTTATCCAGATCACAACCCAATGTTTTGTCCATTTCAAACCATGTATGGTTCTATTCTATAACAGCTACTGAGGTTGAATTGAAGGGTGAAGAAAGGAGGGTTGGCAAAGGAAGTTGTCCACTCTTAATGTGAACTCATATAAGTTAGCATCACCCAGCAGCTTTCCCCCATTGTTTTCACCAACACCCCCCTTCTATCTGCCATGTTCA